TATAAAATTTCCTGGGAATTTTTTTCCTAATATCCCATCTAAACCTACCCTGTGGAGTTTGCAGCTGCCTGCCCTAGTGCTCTGTTTTTTGGGGGAGGAAAGCTGTAAGTCAAACAGGATCACTTTTTATCCCAGGAAAGACCTGGAGAAACTCTCTGGGTGGGTCAGTGCTGGCAGCAGGCTGGGGAGCAGGTGCCACCACTCTGGTCCCTGTTACTCCCTGGGGGGGAGTTTGGACTCATCCCTGTGGTCCTGCTCTTTATCCAGAGCCCCTCAGACTGATCTGCTGAAGGACTGGACACACTGGCAGAGCCACACCTGGGTGGGGGCAGGAGGGGCAGAGCAGGGAGACAGAGCCAGGCTGGGGGGCATCAGCTGGGGGAGGGACCCCTGTGTGCCCTGCCTGGCTGAGGGGAGCCTGGGCCCTGCAGGAACCCAAAAGGGGAAGAACTGCCAAGGCCTGACCTCCCACTGGCACTGAGAGGTGAATCCTTACCCTGAGCCAGCTGTTTTCCAGCTAATTGAATTCCCACTGGGGCAGCAGCAGCTCCAGCTGTTTGCTCCAAGGAAAACCCAGTTCCCCAGGAGTGGGCTGGGAGCTGGGAGGCTGCTCATAGACACTGCCCTGGCTTGGAGGGGGCAGATCAGCCTGGCCTTGAGAGACAGGAAGGTTTTCAGGGGTGGGCAGTGGGAAAGGATGAATGCTGCATTTTTTCCTGCAAAATGCAGTTAGGATTTGCTCCGACAGCCGGGCACGGGTGGCACTGAGGCTGTGCCAGCAGACATAGGGGAGGGAGGGAATGGAGCAGGACAAATCCTGCTGCTGGGGGAGGTGGAGGGCAGTGGAAAGTGGGTCTCACCAGGCCAAGGTGAGCTGTGAGCAGTTCCCTGTGCTCCCACAGGGCTGGAGTCCTGCATGTGCTCATTTCTCCATCCCTGCACAGGCACTTCCAGCCCTGTGCCGTGGCTGGGTAAAGCTCCACACCAGAGGGGCTGCAGACCCCTCAACCCCTCCCCAGCCCCCCAGAGGACCCCCTGCCCCCCAGGTACTACCTTCTCCTCCAGGGCTGCCATCCTCTCCTTGAGGTGCAGCTGCAGCCGCTCGTTACTCTCGCTCAGCAGCCGGTCCACGGTGTCCGAGAGCCGCTTGTTGTGCTCCTCGTTCATCTTCTCCCTCTGCCGGGCCTGGGACACCAAACAGTGACCACAGGGGCTGATCCTCCTGCCCCGAGGGCCTCAGGGCCCCCCTGCCATCCTGTGCCTGCCGTGGGGTCAGAGCTGCCCCACCGGGCCCAGCTTTTGGGCACAAATCCACCCCTTCCAGCACTGTGGTAGCTCAGCTGGTTTCTTGACACTCCCAGCCAGGGATGAACAGGAGACAGGACAGGACTCAAGGAGATCCTGCCTGCCTGACCCTCAAGAAAGATCCAGCTGTGCATCTGCCAGGAACAGCCACACTGGGGCACATCCAAACCTCAAGGGATGCCGAACTTCTGGATTTGCAAATGTCTATCCTGGACCAGAACCACGGGGGCTTTGCTGGGGCACATCTGCGATGCCCAGGAAATGGGCATCACAGCCTCCTGCATGGACAGCCCAGGCACTGACCAAGGAGCACAGCAGGGACTGTGCAGCCTCTGGCACAGCAGCTCAGCCTCCCTGCCCTTTGGATCCTGCTGATCCTGAGGTGGAGCCTCCCCTTCCACCCTACATTTGGGGTCCCAGCCTGCCCCAGGGGCAAATGCTGGGAGAGGAGTGGGTGTGGAATGCCAACAGAAAGACCTGGATGCCTGGGAAAGGGACAAACCACAGCAAAGGGTGCCATGAGCTCCTGTATGGCTCCACTCTAAGAGCTCCTGGATGGGAAAGGATCACCCAGACTGCCCTCCCCATCCTGTTTTGGGGACACCAGGAGTGCCAGGTGTCCAGGCACCAGGGGAAGGGGAGCCAAGGCTGGATCAGGACTGCAGGGACAGCACTTACCCTGGCCAGCTCCTGGTTCTTCTCCTCCAGCTGGGTCTCCAGCTGCCGGAGATGCTCCTCGATGCTCCCGTGCCTCTCTTCTGCCTGGGAAAAGCAGAGCAGCCCTCTCAGATGACGCTCCCCAAAGCCAGAGGGCCCTCCTGCATCCCTCCATCCATACATGCATCCACATCCTCCCTGGGATGCAGCACCTCTCTCCCACTCACTGTGAGCCCCAACCAGCCCTGCCAGCACAGTGACAGGAGCTGGAGGTGCTCTGAGAGGGACTAAGAACCGTTCCAGCACCCAGGAAGGGCAGGGATGGCCACGTCCACCCCCCTCTCCAGGCCTGCACCCTCCCACATCCAGCCTGCTCCCTCCTCTTCCTCCTCTTCCCGGAGTGGTCCCAGTGGTCTCAGCAGGGCCATCTCTGCCTTGGAGAAAGGGGCTGAGGGAAGGAAGGGAGCAAACCCCACGTGCGGAGGATTTAAAAGCAGTGCCTCATCCCTGCAGCCATGGGGACAGTAGAGGACAGAAAAGGCACAGCTGGGAATGAGAACAGCGTTCCCTGGGCTACCAGGGGCTCCACCCCTGCAGGTTCCTGCTCTCCCCTCTGTGTCTGCACCCCGGGGCCCCCTCCCCTTGCCTTGGTGAGGGCAGCGATGCGCTGGGCCAGCTCCGCTTCCACCTCGGGCAGCGTCTCCGCCTTGCGCATCGTCTGCTGCAGCTTCTGCTCCGCCAGCTCCAGCAGCTCCTGCAGGTGCCGGGCCTTCTCCTCGCACTGTGGGACAGCCAGGGTGGGTGCCTGCCCACCTGAGCCACCCCCAGGTCCCTGGGGAGATGGGGAGCCTGGGGGTGCAGCCCTGGTACCTGGCGGTGCAGGGACTCCTTGTTGGCCAACTCGTTCTCCAGCTTGTCGTTGAGGTCATGGATGGAGGTGGCCTCTCTCTGGGCTGCCAGGTAGCGCTTCTCCAGCGTGGTGATCCTCTCCTCCATGTCCTCTTTCTGTGCCAGGGCCTGGGGAATGTCACATCCTGATCTGTGACCACCAATATGGGAATAACTGGGCCACTCAGTGAGCCTGGGACACCCCAAGTCCAAGAGTACAGGGAAAACCCTGCTTTGGACAGGGATGAGGGATGGGAGAGTGGGACAGAGATAAAGGGGGAGCCAGGCAATCCCAGGACAACCTTCTAGAAGGACACAGCTCACTGCCCCAGGTCACCTCAGGGAAGTCCTGCTGGTGAACTTGGGACAGTCTCCCAAAGGTAGTGGATTCTTTTGGGGAACACCCTGCAGACAGCAGGAGTTTCAGTGCCTTCCCAGCCTGGATGCTGCTGTGAGGCATTGTGGCCCAGGCCTGGCAGAGCAGGAGGCAGTGGCTCACCTCTCGCAGGTCCCTCTGGTACTTGCTGCTCATCTCCTCGGATTTGATGAGGTCCTTCCTGGCGGTGCCCAGGTCCTCCTCCAGCTCGGCCACGCTGGCAGCCAGAGCAGAGATGCGCTCCTTGGCCTGGACCACCTCGAAGTTCTGCTTCTCCAGGAGCTCCTGCAGTTCCACCACCCGCCCGGCCTCGTCATCGGGGTGCACGGAGCCGTTGGAGAGTCGCTGCAGGCAGCACAGAGGGAGGGAGGGCCAGGCTGCCCCAAAGCTCCCGGGCTCTGGCAATGCCTGCAGCCACACAATGGGGGAATGTGGCCCTGCAGGGACCTGGGGGAGGGTGGGAATGGAGACACGGGGTCTGGGACCCCCTGTCAGCAGCCTCCTCTAGCCAGGGATGGGGCTTCCTACGGCACGGAGGAATAGGGATGGCTGAGGGCTTCCCAGAGCATCTGGTGGAAGGTGTCCCTGCCCATGGCAGGGGGTTGGAATGAGATGATGCTCAAGGTCCCTTCCCACCCAAACCATTCTGGGGGTCTGTGAGCTCTGGGAAGCAGAGCCCCCAGGAGTGTCCCAACCACACTCAGAAATGGGCTGGATCCACCAGGAAGGGCATTTCCCAGGGGGTCGGACCCGAGGGAGAGGGAAAATGGGTTTTCAGCACACCCCTGGAGCCATAACAGGGGCCTTAGAGAAACGATGCCCCCCCTGAGCATGGTCAGAGCAGGGTTCCTGGGGTTCTCACCTTCCAGGGAAGCTTTGGGGCTGGTTCCTTGGGCTCATCCCGCTCTCCCGCCGGGACCTCCCGCAAGGCACCCTGCTGGAGAGCTGCCACCTGCATGGAGACAGGGATCAATCCATGGGATCTGGACAGCACAGATGGGGCACTGGTGGGGCCACACCCCCAGTCCTGGGGCAGTTCTGGGCCCCTCACAAGAAAGACATTGAGGGGCTGGAGCGTGTGCAGGGAAGGGAACAGAGTTGGGAAGGGGCTGGAGCAGCAGGAGGGACTGAGGGAGCTGGGGGGGCTCAGCCTGGAGAAAAGGAGGCTCAGGGGGGACCTTCTGGTTCTCTACAACTCCCTGACAGTAGTGGGGAGCCAGGGGATTTTGGGCTCTGCTCCCAGGGAACAGGGACAGGAGGAGAGGAAATGGCCTCAAGTTGCTCCAGGGGAGGTTGAGGTTGGATATTCAGGACAATTTCTTCATGGAAAAGGTGGTCAGGCCCTGGCACAGCTGCCCAGGGCAGTGGTGGAGTCCCCATCCCTGAAAGTGTCCAAAAAACAAGTGGATGTGGCACTTCATGACATGGTTTAGTGTCATGGGGGTGTTTGGTCAAAGGTTGAACTTGATGGTCTTGGAGGTCTTATCCAACCTTAATGATTCCATGAGTCCAAGAGAGGAAGACAGAGAGGCTGTGAAGGTGAGTGCAGAAGGAGGTTTTCCTGGTGAGTCTCAGGGATCTGAGCCCTGTATCCCAGGGCTCCCAGCTCATCCTCTGGTTTGCAGCCAGACAGGTTTGAAACCTGGTGCAGCAGGAGCAGGGGATAAACACTGACATCATGTCCTGCTCTGATGGCAGAGGAGGGGAATGGTCCCTGCAAGGTGAGGGACCTGGGAGCCAGGTCTTATCCTTAAACCAGACTTATCCTGGGAACTGGGAAGAGGAGAAAAACTTGGAAAGGCCGAGTGATGGCTCTTTCCTTTTGGCAGCAGTGCCTGGGCACAAACTTCAGGAAGGAAAACAGGGTTAATGCTTCTCCAAGAACAACCCATCCCTGGAAGTGTTCAAGGCCAGGTTGGACGGGGCTTAGAGCAACCTGGGCTGGTGGGAGGGGGTCCCTGCCCATGGCAGGGGGTGGAACAAGATGAGCTTTAAGGTCCTTCCAACCCAAACCCTTCTGGGATTCTGTGATTCTAAGCTGAAAAGGGTTGGAGGTTGGGGACAGCAAGGTCTCTGTTCCAGGGCTCCAGCAAGGAAAAAGGTGGGGAATGCAAGGTGAGGGGCCTGGAGAAGAAAGGCTTGGGCCTCTGCTGAAGCAGGGAAATCCCAAGTCACCCTCAGTCCCCTGAAATGATTCAGATTCAGGTTGGGTTTTGTCAGTGAAATGAACTTCAAACAGTCAAAAGAACAGGGGGATCCTCACCTGTCAGACAAAGGTTTCCATAATCTTTGCAAGGTTCCCTCAAACACAGACAATCCTTCATGGAGGCAGCGAGTTCAGAACAAAAGCCTCCAACCAAAAATGCCCAAACACCATTTCTCTAGATGATCAAGGGTGGTATTTGAGCAACTTCAACCACAAATGTCCCGGGGAGCAGCTCCAGTGCCCCGGGAAGGGTCCAGGGATTGGTGCCCAGGTGCCCTTACCTGCCGGTGGGCATCCACGAGCTGCTCCTCCAAGGTGGCCACTCGCTCCAAGGCTGCTCTCAGGCGTTCCCTGACCTTCAGGGGTGGGAAACAACAGCAAGGGCCATTACTGATCCATGAGGGGGGTGCCCAGGACCCAGGCAAGCTCCCAGCCCTGTCTGGCAGCCAGCCAGGCTGAGGTGGATTCACAGGCTCAGCATCATCCAGCCCATCATGTGGTGGGGGAGGAGGTAAAAGCCTGGGCCAGCTCTTGGAGATGTTTGAGGCAAATGAACGAGGAGGAACAAGAGCCACAGTGCAAAGACTGACCCAGAGGGTCCAGTGCCAGCCCCCACGAGTGGCTCAGGGCAGCCCCCTGTCCCCAGCAGCCTCAATCCCACGGCACCCGCTTGGCAGCCCCACCGGCTCCCAAGTGCAGCCTCTGAATATCCAAGGCCTTCCCCCTGAAGGACTCCACGTGAAACAAGGGCTTAGTTTTAAGGCCTGCAGTACTGAGCTGCACTTGGCATGAGTGTAAACTTGTAAAATGTGACCATTAGTTTAGTTTCAATAAACACCAAACTGTAACTGCCTGCAGATAAAAAAACTATCCCAGTGACAAGGTAAGAGAAGAGCTCAAGAGAGGCCAGTAAGGACCTGCCCTACTGGCAAAAGGAGATGTAAGCTCAAGAAAAGAGCTTCAGCAAATAGCAATCAATATTTTAACACAGGAGTAGCCACATATTGGTCTTAAAAAATATGTGTAATTATAATGACTATATAATAGTAAGTATAGAACTTTGCAAGTTGTTGTGCACCGACTCTGTAGGGATGCACTTTTAAAATAAAACCCTTCTAAGCTGTTTGTGCACTAACTCTGTATGGATGCAACTTTAAGATAAAACTCTGCAAGTTGTTTGTTCAAGGGTATGAATTCCCTATGAAAACTGTCTCTCAGTGGACACACAAACACAAGTCTGACCTTCCTTTCCTCTTTCTCCTTCTCTCTTTCTTTACCCTTTTAATTTGTTTTCTTTTACTCTTTTCTTTCTCTTGGAGGCAACTTAAAACCTATGAACTGTGTTTTACTGGTATATCCATTCTGTGGAATGGGTCTTTGTGCTGGGTGTTTTACTAAAATACTTTTCCTTGGTTGTATTTTACTCCCGTAAAACCTGTTGCCAAAATATCTTCTTCTTCTCACTAAATTAAAAGAACTTCTCTTGGAGAAGAGCGTGTGACTCTTTCTGTGGATGCGAATTTGAGGTTATAACAAACCAAAAGGCTGTTCAAAAGTCTTAAATAAAATGCAACCACTCTGGGCAGTTTATGGAGTGTAACATCACCTCACCTTTTCATCCAGAGCCTTGTGATGCTCAAAGAGTGACTTGAGAGCCTTGAGCACCTCGACCTCGCTGGAGACCCCGGACGGGGACTGGGCCTGCCGCTTGACCACGGTCATCCTGAGGGAGCGCTCATGCCGGGACACCAGGCACTCCAGGTGCTCCAGCAGGAGCTGCGGGAGCAGAGAGAGGGGGGTGTCACTGCTGGGGCCGGGGGGTGTCCCACATTCCCAGCACAGCAGCGGTCCCACCCTTACCCGGGTGTTGTTGCGCTCGGCCTTCAGCTCCGAGATCTCCTCCTCGCGCTCCAGGAGCTGCTCCCGGCACGCGCTGAGCTCCCGCGTCAGCGTCGCAAACTCCTGCGGGGATGGGGCCGTCAGCGGGGCCAGAGGGCTGGGGAAGGAGCCAGCACTCCAGCCCCTCTGCTGGGACCTCCAGCACAGGGCACTTCCCACCCAAACTCGGCCAGTGAGAGGGCAGCGTCCTGAAGTCGGTGGAGCAGCACATTCCAGGCCACATTCCTGGCCTCTCCAGGTGCTTTGCACAAGGAAAAGTGCAGCATCCCGACATTTGCCCATTTGGTTTGATGTCCAGTGACACAAGAAACTGCTCTGCAGCTCCAGAGGTGCTCGATGGCCTTTAAAGCTTCCCAGCCAAGGCCACCAGCATGTTCCCATTCCTGCTGTCCCCTTGATGCAGAGCACCCACGCTGGAGCAACCCATGAGGCTAAAAGTCACCACAAAGCCAGCCAGGATGAACCCCCTGACCCTCAGCCAGCCTCTGCCAGGTCCTGAGGCCCTGGAATCATCCAACAAGCCTCCTTCCAAAGGAAAGAGCGAGACCTGCCCAGTGCAGCACATGGAGCCCCATCGAGCTTCCTATAGGACAGCCCCAAGCCCCAAATCCCAGATGAGATGGATGGGACACTGCAGAAAACGTGCCAGGTGCCACCAGTTCTTGCTCCTGCCACCAGGAGGTAACAGCCAGGAGGAGCCATGCCCAGGGCAATGCCAAAGGAGAGCTGCCCAGCCAGCACATCCCTTGGGATGGGCTCCTGGGAAACACCAATCCCACTTCAGGCTGTGTCAGAAGGGAAAGGAAACTCCCTTTGAAGTTCCTGGGATGGGAGAGAGTTTGTTTTCCCTTAAAAAAAGAAACCCCAGCAGCTGGGTGAGCCCAGGAGCACCTCCCACTGCTCCCAGTTGCTCTTTCAGTCCCTGAGTGGTGCCAGGACCAGGAGACGTTTTGCAGCTGGGATTTTTTAGGGTGAAAAATGCAAATGTGGGAACAAGTCATGAATTTATACCACTTTCACAGTGTTGTTGAGAAGAATTTTAAAAGGCAAAGGGTTTCAGAAGAAGCTGAGAAGGATTTGACGGAGCATTAACAAACCAAATTTCCACTGGGGGCTGAGAGCTGTTTTACAGCATGAAATTCTCCATCACTTTAATTTTCAGGTTAAACAAATAAAAACCCTTCAAACTGAAGCAAAACATTGAGGCTTAGGCTGAACCAAATGCTCTTCTCAGCTCCAAGTGAAACCTCCTGCAATAGCTGAAGCTCCAAGAAATCAAGAGCTTTTTCATCCCAGAGGTTTTCCCTCTCCCTTCCCACCCCAACCCTCTCGTCCTGGAGGGGTTTGCAGCCTGGAGATGGTGGGGATGGTGGTGGCTCTGGTGAAGTTGAGACCCCACAGAGGGACAGGACCCGAGCAGGTCACAATGTGGGAAAGGGAAGTCATTGTCCTTGTAAACAGCTGCTCTTCTGCCCCTCACCTCCCCAGATGCTGCCACCTGAGATCACCCAGCATCACCCCAGGGCCTGAGTGCCTTGGCTCCTTCCCAGCCCCACTCCTGCCCCATGCCTTCCCCAGAGAACCCTCCAGCCCCGGGGCCATCCCTGTCCCCATCCCTTCCCCAGGGATCACTCCAGCCCTGTTGTCATCCCTGTGCTGAGATCACCCCACTGGGATCACCCCAGTCCTGGGATCACCCCTGTTCCCATCCTTTCCCCAGGGACCACTCCAGCCTTGGGGTCACCCCTGTCCCCATCAGTTCTCCCCCAAACTTGTCCCAACACCCCAAACCTCCACCATCAGCCTCTGCCGTGCCCAGGCCCCGTCCCACACTCTCTCCTGGCCCATCCCACAGACCCCACTGCAGCCCCACCTGCCCGGGGGACCCCCCTGCCAGCCCTGCCCTTCCCAGAGCTGAGCCCTCCCTGCCCGCGGGACCCCAGGTGGGATCCCGGCCCTGCACCGCCCAGCCTCACCCCCCGGCTGTGTTCTGGGGGTTATGCAATCGCTGCGAGCGGCTCCTGAGCATCCCTGCGGATTAAATCCGGGCTGGGAATGCCGGGGAGCAGGAAGCAACAGCGAGAGGAGTGTGTGCATCGCCGGGCTGCTTCAGATTTAGGATGTGTCACTCCCCCAGTCCCTCAGCGTGCCAACACACGGGCAGCGAGGCTTAAGGAGCTCGGGAAAAGCATCCTGGCAGCCGTGATGGGCCAGGAATGTCGTTCAGCAGGCGGGGGAAACACTGTGGGCTCTTCCAGCGCTGGGGCAGGAACTCTGCGGATCAAAAGCCCCCAGATCCGCTCTGCCCCGTGGCTGGCAGGGAAAACAGAGACTGAGGACATGGATGTTCTTCCCACTGGAGTGAGCGAGGCAGTGTGGGATGGATGGGAGGCAGCGGGGAAGGGGGATGGGACTGGGATCTCCAGGGCCCAGCTCTCCTCGCCTTGCACTGGGGTGGGCAGGCTGCACAGATTGTGCCCACAATCAGCCTTTCATCCAGAAAGAGGGGATTAAAAGGGAGAAAATCCGCTGGAGAGAGACGGGCAGCCCCCCCCGCGGCCAGCCCAGCAATAGCCGGTCAGCGGGTCAGACACGGAGCGGCTCCGCTGCCTGCCCAGCCCAGCCCATCCCCTCGGGATACTCCTCCCCGAGCCCTCCATCCCGCTGGGATCGGCTGCCTGGATCCCGTGTTCAGCGTCCCAGCATCCCAGCGCAAATAAAAGAGCCCACGACAAGCGCTGCCCCCCGGGGAAAGGCTGCAAAAAGGAACGTTTACACCAAAAATAGCAACAGCCCTGAGGCGATCCAGGCCAGCAGAGAGGGTGAGCCGAGTGCACGGGGCCTCATTTGGGTTCCTTGGGAAGGAAAAATAGGAATTAATCACTCCAGCACCCGCCTGGAGCCACTTCCCCCAGTCCTGGCTGTGCCAGATGCCAGCACTGCCACCTCACTCTGGGCCACCAGGCGAGTTTGGGGACCATGAACAGCTGTCCCCAGCTCCTGGCTGCAGTGCCACGCTGTGGAGAGCAGTCTGCACCCCCATCCACAGCATGCCAGTGTCCTACATCCCAGTAAAGTGGGCATAAAGAAGATCCAGATGATTTCCCTCTGCCCTGGCCACGGTCAGGAGTCTCCCAGGCCTGCCCCTGATTCAGATAAGCTCTTGGACTAAGCAGGGACACCTATAAACAGATTAGAAAGTGAAGAAGAGGTGCCTGATCTTCAGCCAAACGAGGGATGATGAGACACAGCCCTGGGAGTTCTCAGGAGCCCGGGGGGGAAACCCAGTGGCCCAGGAAGTGGTTAATTGGGATTAAAACCAAACCACCCTCAGCACAACTGGTTGGGCTCAGCCCCAAGGCCCAGGGGGAGGGGGAGCAGGGTGGACAGATGCTGTTTTCACTGTCAGAGCAGGGAGGGAGACCCAGAGGGATGTTGTGGATCAGGGCTCGGATCTCCAGTCAGCACCAGGAATATAGGGGGTTTGGGGCTGCACCAGTGGGGAAGGCACAGGGAAGAGCTGGAAGGCAGCCAGAAACCAACCCCATGGAGATGGCTTGGAAAGCAAGGAGAGGTTTAAGAAGCTCTGGAGGAGAAGAGAAATGCAAAATCCCCCCAGCCCAGAGCCACCCCCTGACTCTCCCAGTTCCATGGGCAGCACAGCCAGGGATGCACAATCACGAGCAGAATTCTCTTCTGCTCCTGGAATTTGTGGCAGGAGCGTGGCTGCTGCTCCAACACACCCAGCCTGGGGACAAACCGGCTCCAGCTGCAGGATTAATGGCATTTTAAAGCCCCTAATTGGAGTGATTGCTCCTGAAGGGCCCTGGCGTGGATGTGTGGGAAGGGTGTGCCAGAAATTCAGCGCTGCTGACTTGGCACAGTACAGGGATGGAGCCCCAGCCATCGCCTGTCCCTGCTGGGTGCTGGCACCCCCATCACCTCTGTGCCCCAGGAGTGGGGCAGTATGATGAAAAAGCCCCAAATCAGAGCCCAGGGGATAAACCCAACCCTGGTGATGTGTAGCAGGGGATTACAAACATTAAATCCCGCCGGGTAAACCCAGGGCTCCGACCATCACCCACCCCCAGCACTGAGCACGTCCTGGACCTCCTGGCTACAGCTCTGGGACTCTGAGGGACCATCTACGGGGAACTGGTGTCCTCCCTTCTCAACATATGGTCAGCAGGTGTATTTCAGCCCTCGCTGTGCAGCCCAGCAAGCAGGAATCCAGCACCTGTGTCCTGGTACTGTGGGAGCATGACCAGCTCCAGTGGTTCAACACAGCTGCCAGATCCCTCCGAATTTACCCAAAATCTGGAGACACTTTAAGGGTCTTACCCTGTGGGTGTTTTCCCCCTACCCAGGGCTGCTGAGTTCCTGTTTTCATGGTGTTCCTCACAATTTAAATATCTTTTAAAGTGAAAGGGAAGAATTTGCTGTGATTGTTTGGTGCCAGGACCCTGCCCAGCTCCTGAGGGACCTCCATGGAGCTCAGGGAGTCTTATGGGGTCTATCCAAAAAGGCCTGGATGGATGAACTGTGGGAGGCTTCCATGGCCATCAGTACCCTCAGCACAGCAATCCCTGTGGAATTGGGAGCCTGTTCTCCCTTTGACACAGCCAGGGACACAGACTTCTGCCAAACCCCCAAGACATCCCAGGACAGGGAGGAGTTCCATCCCACATGGGACCGTGCCCTGGGAACACAGGTGGATACACCTGCATGTCACATCCCTGGGTGCCACCTACACCAAGGAGCTGGGTGGCTGGGCAGGAGGGAGCTGGCACCCTTGACAGGGCTTTGGGGGGCTGCTGAGAGCACCCAGGCCCCTCTCAGGGCGTGGTGGGTGGCCACATGCTCCCTGAAAAACGGGGAGGGCAGCGGGATTGGAGCCGAGAGCTCTCAGGCCGATTAGGTCGCATTCAGCACTCCCACATGAATAAATAAATCATGTAAGAAGCATTAAGGCAGCTTAGTCTCCCTGGGAAATCGCCCTGGAGTTCTGCCTTTTGGGGGCTGAGGGATGCCCCCATGGATTAGGGGTGGGGATGGCTTGGCCACGTGGCTCAGGAAAGGGGGAATGGGAGTGGCAGGCAGGAGCATCCCTGGAGCATCCCTGGAGCATCCCCTGCCTGCCCATGGATGAGCACATCCCTGCCTGCCCATGGACAGACACATTCCCTGCCTGCCCATGGATGAGCACATCCCTGCCTGCCCCATGCAGGGGTTTGCCCTGCACATCCCAAGCATGGATCTGCACCAGACACACGTTCCCTGCCCATCCCTTTGGATCCCGTGCCGACCCAGCAGCCTCCAGCTGCCACTCTTCCCTGAGAAGATGCAGTGCCACATTCCGAGCCTCCCTCCCCCCCAGCCTCCCAGGCAGTGCATCCTCTGAGCAGCTCCAACCCGGCTCTTTGTGATGCCAGCCCTGGAGAGGCCACCGATAAGCCTGGGTGCCCAACCCTGCCCCCAAAAAAGGGTTTGTCCCAGCAATCCCGCTCGGATCCCATCCCAGCGGGGTCTGACACATCGAAACGACTCACAAAGGAGGAAGAGGGTGGGACAGACCCAGGGGATGGCCCCACACGGTGCTCTGGGGAAGGGACCCGCCGTGCCCCCTTACCTGGTACATGCTGGGATTAATCCCATTGGGCGGGTGGGCACCTTTGGATTTGCTTCCCGGGTTCATGCCGAGCCCTCATCCCCGCGGGTGCAGCCCCGGGGCCGGGGGGCACGGCGGGCACCGGGGGCCCCCTGCCCGCGCAGGGACAGCCAGGGCAGGGGGATGCAGCGGCAGCCGGGAGGAATTCCCCATGGGATGCCCCCCTGGTCACATCCCGGGGCGCGGGGGACAGGATGTGGCCCCGGCGGAGCGGGGGGCACCCAGCGGGGCCGCGGATGCGGCGCTGCCAGCGGGTCCCTGTGCCCTGACCCAGTTTGCTCCGTGCACACCCCACCCGTGCCGAGGCTCCGAGGGCCCGTTCCTGGAGCGGGAGAGGAGGATAAATCCGCATCCCTTAATCCCAGGCGGCTGCGGCGGGGCGGGCAGCGAGAGCGTCAGGGTGACCTGGCTTGCTCTCTCTGGAATGCTGGCACAGGAGCAGGGAGCGGAGGGGACCAACCCCCGCTGGCACACGGTGGTGGTGCTGGATGCACTCAGCACTTGGGAACGTCGTGGTGCTGGCCCTGGATGCACCCAACACTTGGGAATGTCGTGGTGCTGGCCCTGGATACACCCAACACTTGGGAATGTCGTGGTGCTGGCCCTGGATGCACCCAACACTTGGGAATGTCGTGGTGCTGGCCCTGGATGCACCCAACACTTGGGAATGCTGCAGCACATCGCTGAGGACAGGGAGCAGCTCGCGCCCAGGAGCCCTCTGGAAGCACCGCTGGGATTTTTGCAGAGCCAGGACCAGCCCAGTTCCGTGCTTGGAGATGTGGTTTGCCTTCCCAGCTGCTCTCTCCCACCCAGAGAGGAGCAGGGATGCAGAGAGCAGGGCAGCCACCTGCTCCGTCCTGCTTGTGCCACGAGTTTTGATCCGTTAGGAATTTCCCATCTCCCCAGGGTGCCCCAAACTCTGCACCCAGGCAAGGAGCATCTCAGCTCTCAGCACTGGCACAGTCAGAAGGGATATAAACATTTGAAGGCTCCTGCTTCCCCTGGCTGTTGAACTCCTCACCACATCACACTCAATGCAAAAGCAATGCAAAAGCAATGCAAAAGCCCCCCAAAATCCCTGTTCCCCCAAATCTGTGCCCTGGGACACTGTGCCCTGTCCCACAAGACCCCACAGGGACAGTGGGCAGCTCAGACCCCCCCTGCACAGCCCTGTGATGCTGATCCAACGCACCTTCTCCTGACCTGAGCATCTTTGTGGAAGCTGAGCTCAAGGTCAGGTCTCTGGAATACCTGAGGGTCCTCCAGGAGAGGAACCGGGAGCAGAGCAACACCAGACACCCCAGGGGAGCCAAGGCAAGCCCTGATTCCCCATGCCCTGGGGCTCCCTGCAATGTCCCAAACCCCATCCTGCACCCAGCTCTGCCTCCAGGGTCCCCTCTCAGGACCAAGGTCGAGGCAAAGTCCCATCACCCCAGTGGGTGATGGGGCTGAAGGAAGGGAGCCTTCCTGGTGTGGGAGAGGCCAAAGAGGGGCAGCAGTAGGGAGACAAGGGGTAATGTCCCCATCTGGGGACTCAAAGTGCCCCCTCAGGACCTCCTGACACCCCAAGGAGTTGGCTGGAGGCAGCAGGCTGGATCCATTCCCCGAAATGTGCCGCCTACTCCCCAGGAGCTGTTTCCCAATGGGCTGTCCCCGTGGGCAAGCACAGGCTCTGGGTCTGCAGAGGACACCCTGTGGTGTCCTCAGGAAGGTTTTGTCCCTTCTCCAAGGGACATCCCTGTGCACAGGGTGGATTGAACTCCCACACCTCCCCACCTGGACTCACAGCGAGGGGTCCAAAGGGAAAGAGATGTCTGAGCTGGCTGTGGCTCAGGAGAACCTCCAGGTTGTCCTGTCGACATGAGGTGCAACAAATCCACTCACAGCAGGTCCAGCTGCCCAAAGGCACGAGCTAAAACCCACAGCCCACAGCCCAAGGCCTCGGTGGAGGCTCCTGCCCCTCCCAGGGCCAGCTCCTTACCTGAGGGAGGGCCGAGTTGAGCTGCCTCTGGAGCTGGTCCCGCTCCCGGAGCGTCTCCTGCAGGCGGCTCTGGGTGACCGACAGCGTCTCGCGTGTCTCCCGCAGCGTGTCCAGCAGCTTGTCCCTCTCATCCAGCATGTTCACCATCAGCTGCTCGAAGTCAGCATCAGCCTCCGAGCCCTGGGGGGGCCCCAGAGGGTCCCCCTCGCTGATGGTGGGCATCACCTCACACATCATGGCGGGGGGGGTGCCAGCGGTGCCTGGTGGGGCGGGCGCTGGGGGCTGTGGGGTTCGGGGCCCTGCTCACATCACCACGGGCTCCCACAGGCCAGGGGAGCCAGGACAGCAGGGGGCAACGGGGTGCTGGAGGTGGGGGGATGCCCCATCCCTTTGTCTGGGGTGCTAAGCAGAGGTTGGCATCGCTCCGGTAGGGATGGAGGTACAGCCTTGGCGCGATCTCAGATCCCCCCGCTCGTCACCGCCAGAGTCCTGTGTCACCTCTGTGCTGCCTCGTGGAGGGGCTGCAGCATCAGGGACCCATGGGGTGCTCAGAGAGGGGCAAAGGGACCCTTGAGGACTTGTCCCAGAGGGGAGCCCAAGCCAACAGCAGCACAGGGAGGGTCCGAGGGATTTTCGGGCTGCCCGGGCATGTCTGGGGTCGATGGGCTGCTGTCCCCAAGGCTGGCTCAGGTGGTCACTGCCCAGGTGGCAATGTGTCCCTGCTGGGCATCGCAGCTCCTCAAACACCTACAGGAGAAGGGACAGAGATCAGACCCCTCCTGCTGCCCCCAAAATGCCCAGGGGGCACCTACCCAGCCCCCTTTGCCCTCCCATCAAGCCTCGAGGCTCAGCACCTGCAGGAATGGGGCTGTGCTGGGTTGTACCACCCTGCACCACCACCCTGCACCACCACCCTGCACCCACCACCCTGCACCCACCACCCTGCACCGAGGATGGCACCAGACTGCAGGGAGCAGCATCCCCAGCACCCAAAAATCCTGCCAGCACCTTTGACATTCACATATCCTGGGCCAGGATGGTGTTTCCTCCCCGGAGCACCAGAGACCCCACGGCCCAGGTGTTCTCCAGCCTCCGGGAATTTACAGAAAATCAGGCTTAAACCTGAGTCCAGCCCAAACCTGGCAAGGAAACACGGCTACAAATGAGTTGAATGATTGGATTAATGTTCCTCCCCCCGTGCCCCCAGCTCTCCCTGTGGCACCAGCAGGACAGATGTGCTGGGACCAGCTGCTCAGTGACAGCTGAGCTCCAGCACACCCTCCCCTGGTCAAACCTCTCCCCAGGGCACGGAGACAGCATTGTCCCCAAATTCCTGCCCAAGCACCATTCCCTGGCCAGTGCCAGGGATGAGAGGCTGGAGGGAAGAGGCAGAGCCACCAACCTGGGCCTATATTCAGGATTAATGCACGGCTGGACCTGTGGACTCAGCACTTCTGCAGCCCCAAATCATCACAGACAAGGTGCCAGATGGGGATTTCTCTTGACACAGAGGCTTCAGCCCTCTGCAGATGGGTGGGGGTCCCCAGGAGTGAGGGTCCATGTGCCACTGTCACCCCAGCCCCCCTGGGGACCTGCCCACCCCTCACCACGGTCTGGGCCAGGGGACAAACCATGGACAGGGCAGCAAAACACGGTGTGGCAAGTGCAGGGTGAGGATTGCTGGTCCAGCGCTGCTTTTGAGGAAGTGCCCCCTGAAGTTCTTAAAACTTCACAGCAGATGTAACACTCAAGGACAGGTATGAATATTCTGAGGCTGTGGCTGCCCCTGAGGTTGTGGCTGCCCCATCCCTGGAAGTGTCCCAGGCCAGGTTGAAGCAACCTGGGACAGTGGAAGGTGTCCCTGTCCATGGCAGAGGGTAGGAAGGGATGAGCTTTAAGGTCCCCTCCTCCCAAAACCATTCTAGGATTTGATGATTCTGTGAATATCCCCATTTCATTTCCCTTTCAAACCAGCACATACATGCACATAAAGGACCTGCACACAGAGCTGGGCTGGGTCAGCCTGTCCTGGCCCTGTGGACGAGGATAAAAGCTCGTGTATGCAACAGCTCCTGGCACAGCAGGGCACTGCCCCCCATCAAAGGCCACAAGCGGGAGAAGCTGCCTTTGTGCCCACCCAGGCCAAGGGAACTGGAGCTCTGCTCTTGGGATGACATTGGCTCATCAGCAGATGGGGAATTTGACACAAAAAAACCCTCTAAAAATAGAGGAGCTCTGGCAAAAGCAGTAGCCCCTCAGTGTGCATCCAGTGTGCTGCCCTGGCAGCTCTGGGGCACCAGGGGTGTGGGACAGGGCTGTCCTGCAGGTGGTTGTGCTCCTCTCCCTCTACAGACTCGATTCTAGACTGGGATAAAACTGTCCTGGAGCTCTGAGGGTTGTTCCTGCTCCCTCCTGGCTGCTGGGACACGGATGAGCAGGAGAACTGTGCACCAAGGACATCCCATCCCTGCAGCATCCCACAAAAAAGAGGCTGGTGGAGGAAAAGCACAGAGAGAGGGACCATTCCTGCCACTGCTCTCCTTGGGTTGAGTTGGACATGAGCCTCAGCCCTGGAATTAAGCAGGTGAAATGCCTGCCAGCTCTCCTGCCCCAAATTAGCACGTGGGCAGATGTCCCAGGCTCCAGGAAGACCTGGGGCCAACAAAACCAGAAATCAGCCTCTCCCCAGGGCTCAGCCCTTTTATTTTGGGGGCCAAACTCAAATGGGGTGACTGCCCCATTTCACTGCTGTGCCTCTGCCTGTGGGATGAGTGTGGAGAAAGAACATCCAGGCTGGGGAGAGCAGACAGTGCCCAAGCACAGCATGAATGGCAAAATGAGCCAGGAATTGAGTGAATTAGCAGGTGAATTAAGAGATATTAATCAAAGCACGGAAGGAAGAGCCCTGCAAGCACTCAGGGAGGGGGAAATTCTGCAGGGAATGACCAAAACATAAATGTGACCAGAGCAATGAGGGGATGGAAATGAATCCCAGCTGCAGAGGAGAGACTCCCTCACCACGAGGAGACCCTGCAGGTGCCAGTCCCAGTGGGGCTGTGGTGGCTCCCCCACATCCCATGGGGGTGATCCAAGGGGCTGGACCCAAGTGGTGCAGGAGGAGGCACAGATTTACATCCAAGGTTTGTTTTCTTTTGCTCCCCCCACAGTGGAGCTCGTGCACTTTTGGGGGTTTTATCCCTTGTTTCACTGCACACAGCATGTCCTGTTATACCTGCTGGGCTTGGGAAGGGAGACACCTCAGCCTGGAGAGGGTGAGAACAGGATCATGGGGACCTGATCCAGGATGGATTCATCCCACCCCACTGCTCCCCAAAAGCCTCTGTGCTCTCTCCTCCTGAGGATGCTCAGCAAAGGTGGAAAACAGCACAAAATTGTCCAAAAGTGTCCAATTTATGGTGAAATTAGTGACTCAAAGCCCAGGGTGTGGGGGGTGCCTTCACTGGAGGGTGGTCACATTTCCCCCTGGCACTGTGGATTTGCAAGTGATTATTTCTGGATTCAACCACTGCAGCTTTCATTGCAAAACCACAAATCCCAGGAGCAGCTCTGATACCAGAAAGGTTCATCCCCAGAGTCAGGGCAGCTGCAAAGGTTTTATTCTTCAATTCTTTGCACCTCTTCCATTTTCATCAAACAAAGCTTAAAAATTCCAGGAGATATTCCATTTATTCCCTAATGTGTTCTGGCTTTTTTGTTAGATTTTATACAAAGTAGAAGCTTAAAATCTGTCATTCTCAAGTGAAAGGATGAGAGAAAATGACCTTAAGTTGAACTAGGAGAGGTTCAGATTAGATATTAGAAAAAAAACGTTCCCTGAAAGAGTGGTCAGGCACTGGAGTGAGTTCCCAGGGAGGTGGTGGAGTCACCACCATTCCAGTCTCTGGAAGTGTTCAAGAGGCATCTTGAACATATCAGAGGGGATGTGGTTTAAGGGGGATTATGGTGGTGCTGGGCTGATGGCTGGAGGTCTCTTCCAACCTGGATGAGTCTGTGATTCCAGGATTTGTGATGGCAAGTGAGGAAGCCAAGCCCAGGCTGGGGCTGATCCCTGCTGCCTTCAAGCCTTTTGGAGTGGGAATTGTGTTCAGTGAGCAACAGGGATGTGCACACAGGGATATGGACACAGCAACATGCACAGGAAGCTCCAGCCTGGGCTTCCTGCCCTCCAAGTGAGCATCCCCTGCTTTCTGCACCCCCTCAAACCTTGGGATTTTCTCCTTTCTCCCCCATTCCCAGGCGCCTCCTCCTGCCGGGGGGTGACACCCCAGGCGCTGTCCCTGCACCGCAGAGCCCAGCAGTTCTCAGGCAGAGCTGCAGGTCCAACCAGTCACTTTTAAGGACCTTGGGGGATGTCAGTGTGGGTGACAGCCCAAACACACCCACGCCCTGCTGTGAGCCCAGCAGGACAGAGCCAGAGCAGCCCTGGGGGCAGAGGGGTCTGAGCTCATCACAAAACTCCGCCAGAGAATCCCAACCTTTCAGCTGCCTCTGGTAAAACCACCTAAATGCTGCTGCCTGGCTTTTGAGGGCCTTAAGTGATGGGATAATCATGGGGTAGAGGCGTGAGGATGCGAGGAGACAGCTGGTGAGCTGAGAAAACAGACACTGCGCAGCTCGAGCCCTTCGCTGGATATTTTTAGTCCCGAGGGGCTGCCAGGCACAGACTTGCTGAGAGCAGCTTTCTTGCCAGTGAAAATGCACTTGCTTCACTAGCCCTCCCCCCTCTACCCCGAAAATGATGCTTTCCCCCGCATTTTGGGGTGGAAAGCAGCGGTCCCACACTGCCCACTTGGAGAGGCTCCCAACAAGCGTGGGGGAGAGCACAGGGGAGGGTGGGGGAGAGCAGAGGGGAGGGTTCTTTGCCCTCGAGCTGATGGTTTGCTGGGCACAGTCTGTTGGAAGCCAGGCTGCCCGTGGGATGCTGGTGCCAGGGAGCACCCTGGCTTTCCCTTTCCAACGAGGGCGAGAAGCACACCCAGCATTCACCCACCTCCAAGGAGGACAGAGACAGTGTTCTCCCTCTGAACAGCTTCACCTTCAGCTCAACCCTGACAGGAGAAAGAAAAAACCCTCTGGCTCTGTCAGCAGAATCATCACTCCGGCAGGGAGCTGGCAAAGAGGGTTTAAGGCACACCTTGGAGGCAGAAAGATTGATCAGCCCCCAGAAACTTCACTTTGATCTTTTCCACTCCTGGAAAATCCTCATCCACTGCCCCACCTGCTCTTGGAAGAGCAGCACAGGCAGGGTGGCAGAGCCCACACCAGCATCCCTTGCTTCAGATTCCCCTCCACCAAACCAGCCAAAGATGGGGTCCAGCATCCACACTGACCCCTTCCCAGTCAGATCCAGGAGGGAGAAGGAAGGTGATGCCCTTCTGCTGTTGGTTGTTCCTTGCAGGACTTCCTTCTGCACCTCTTCCCTGAG